TTTTTCAACAGGTTATATCATGAGACTTTTGGAATTCCAAAATCTAAAATGTTAATTAGATATATAAAATGTAACTGATACAATACTATGGTATTTATATATTTGTTTCAATCACAGAACCGATTTATTTAAATTATATGCATTTGAGTTGAATTTATTTTAATTAAAAGCTATGCAAAATACTATTTATGAGTTACCTTTATAGATACATAGCATTTAATTGTTATAAATCTGGTATAAATTATGTAAATTGTCACTTCATCTTTTTACGTAATACCACTGAGTATACGGATGATATATAATATAGATTGAATCTATACAGACTATAAATAATGGTAATACGCACGCTATTTTATAAACTTGCTGTTGTAATCATTTGAAGTGATACCATCTTTATAAACTATACATAATATTTATCTTTAAATTTTAATCTAACGAGTGTATTCTCCGGGTGTATATATATATAAACATATTTATATTATCTTGAAAATAAGCTATAAAGTTATTGGCGGGAAGACACTCTAAAGATATGCCTCGAAATAATGTATTATGTATAATGTATATTGTATACATTAAACTAGTATTATACCTACATACATAAATATTAAAATGGAGGTAACACGAGAATAAGTAAACAAGTAGTATTTTCATATTTTTTTTTGTTTTTATAATTCGAGTAATGTATTGTATTAAAATCGATCCCCATTTTAAGGCAGTTTGGTTTTTCAATATTGTACAGAACAGTCGATTGGACATGAATAATAGCATGTTGAACTGTTGAAGGTATGAGTATTTGTTCATGCCAAAATCATGCGTAAGTACCTATATTCACAAATCACAATGACCCTAAACGTTGTGCCATCAATAACTAATATAATTTAACGCAGGAAAAATTATATTTTAAATTACTATGCTATGTTACTAAAATGTTTTAAATAGGCAAATAAATAATAATGTTACTCAAATATGTGTCCCTATAGGCGTGTCTTAATATAATATATTATATTAAGCATGATCCAGGTATCCCAACACACACATACTTTAATCCGACAGAGAGCGGGGTAATTTCTAATTAATATAATGGTAAATAATTAATTACAAGTAATAAGTAATTACCCTATACTTGAAATTCGTAATAGTGCCACCGCAGCGTGCATATTTTTTATTCATCAGTATTCAGTAAGTATTGATTTTTAAGCTCTCAGAAGGAAACACAAAATACTGGTCTTAAAATCAAGAATGTTTTAATCAATGTGACGCATATGTGAGCGTACAATACAATATGTTTTAATTCAAGTATTTAGTATGATGAATTGATTGTACCCATTTCAAAATTATATTGCTTTATTGCAAATCTAATGGCCACATGCCCACATAGTTACTGAGGATTATTTAAATAAAAAAAAGTATTATTATTTTAGACAAAGCTACGAGTTGAAAGAATAAAATGCTTAAATAGGTTTCGATAATACGTGTAGGGAATGTTTAAAATATTTAGATTCTAATATATTTGTTTATTAAAAATTAAAAAATATTTTTTATTTTGGTTTACATAAATTTAAATTAATTAATAAAATTAATAACTCATTAAAATTAATTTAAAAAAGTTGTTTTACATCATTGTTTTATTTAAAGGTGATAATTAATATGTATAACAATGCGTAAGTATTGAAATTTATAATCAAACTTCCATAAAACAAATCCAATTAGTTGATTTCGCTTTGTATTGTTTAATAACCTAGTCAAATAAAATGCAAATATAATAAATATAAAAGTTCTATAGAAAATCTAGCCAAACCTCTATATTTACGTTGTAATTTAAAAGTTGGGTGATAATTTTTTAAACAGATTTTCTATTTACATACAGGATACAGACTAATTTTTATTAAATGTATTAATACATTAATTATAATAAGTGTAAAGTGTGAAAGAGGAAGGTCGTGCAAAAGTTTGACGGTACTTATTAACCATTAAGTATTATCTAATAAAAGTTTTTAAGTAATACAAATGTTTGGAAACTTGTGTAATTGATTTAGTACTTGGAATATACGTATATTATTAATATTTATTAGGTATGTTTGTGAATACGTAGGTGTATAAAAATAAACTTTCATATAAAACTATATTTTTTGGCCATTTCTCAATAAGTATAGTTATTGTATACCCAAGAAATCTACTGATATTATATTCCCAAGCATATTATTATCAGGTAACTTATGAATTTTATCCAAGTTGAGAATTTCAATGATAAAAAAAGTATTTTTTTAGTGTTGTATGGGTTTTATAAAGGTTTTTTCTTTTTACAGTTATAGTAAGTTATACTCAAAATAAAAAAATTTTAAAAATTTTGGAACTCGAAAAAACCCTGTAGCGCTAAAGTGTTACATCTTCTTTTTCAACACTTTTAGCGTGGAATGTGGAATGTATTGGTTCTATAATAATGTTTTTTTTACTCTTAGTTGTATTCGTTATATTTTTTTTGAGCGGAAAAAGTGCTTGACACTTTGTAGGTAGTCCAACTTTTAGAATTTAACATTTTATCTACTTGGTATTTTATCGGCATTTCAAAAATTGCTAAACAAACAAAAATGTAAAAATAACTCAGAAATGAATAACCTTTTATAGAGATCTAAAATGTTTATTAATTAATTATTATTATTATTATTATTATTATTATTATATGGGTACAATGAGTTGAAAAGTTAATGATTTTTTTTTATAAACACTTTTTCGTTAAGCTTGAATTTCTATTTAATAAAAAGAATAACGATAAGTACCTAATATCATATTCAAAAATGTAACCTTATTAGCACAACATATTTTCAAAACCATCACTAATTTCTTTATTTATGTGAGAATTTTGAGTTTCAACTAGTTTGACACATTGATAAAAATCAATTTTTTTAAAAATGAAACTAAACTTGAAAAATAATATGGTATACCAAAGCATTATACCCATTATCTAAAATTTAATTAGAAGAAACAATTGTATTATGCATGTTGTATATTGTATATTACCTATGATTTAAACTTTTGTTTAGCCATATAAGCCGTAATTATAAAATATATCCAAAAATAACATATAGAATATGTAATTTAATGATCAAAAGCTTTCCTATTCCTATTAAGTAAAATACATTTTTGTACTGAATATCGTAAGTGATTAAAAAAAATGTGATGGGTCAATATTTTTAATTAATGAACACGGTCTTCATCAATTGTTTTTAATTTTTAAACTGTCATAATTGTTATACCATAAATAAAGCAATGAAATGGAAAAAAAAAATATAATTAACTGTAACTGGATAATGTAATTTTTATAAACTTCATGTGGAAATATACTATCTATTATAATATAACTATACAAGTAATTATGATAATTTAAACATGCGTTGATTCGGGGGAGTTTTGTAACATTAACTGTTCAACAAGCTTATAACGATGTGAGGATAAGCTTTTAAATATGAGGATTTTTTAATATAAGCATTATACATTTTTCAACTAGGTGTTTAATTATAAATATACATTTTTATATTTAATTAAAAACTACTGTTATTATTATATATGAACATTGTGTATCTATAATATATATGTTATATCATATATTCATATATAGGTAAATATTTTAAAATTATTATTCTGTATATTTATAATACATTGTCAATATTATCATTTATAAACTACAATAATTATAGACACCTAGCTTATTTTATATTATTACTTAATGTTAAATACATGTTATTAAGATTATATACTTTCGTAATTGTCGAACTATAATAACTATAGCTGAAAGTTTTAAAATAAAAAAAAATAAAAAAAAGATTGTATACTTTAATGATTATCTAAGAACTAATTAGGAATTTATATTGTTTATCTACAAGTAAAAGTGTGGATCCTTAACTACAGAAAATGTATCTACTCTAAACATTTAAAAACAAAGTTCGTACTTGCATTGGCATTATTTTTTTCTAAAATATTTTGTTTGTAATGCACTTAAAAATGTCTTAAATCATAATTTATAACTTTTCCTTTAATGAATTATACTTAAGTTTGTATTATATAAGCAGAAATTGTTTGAGCTAAAATGTATTAATACAAATTACCGACCTAAAATATCGATTGGACGGTATAAATATAGTTGTATGCGGTTATTTGTACTTGAATGTATAATGATTGTAATTTAATTAACTATTCTACCAAAAATATTTCGATTTGCCTCCATAAATTTACCGTTTAATTATAAACGTCTCGAGACGCATAGAATACAACGTCTATAATTATACTCGTATTAATATACTATAATAATAGTGATGATGATTTTTATTGCAGACAACGATAACAAAATTATATTCAAAGGCCACGATACGATCCGTATTAGATAACATGAATAAAGATGATTATTATTACATAAACATTAGCGTTTTAATAAATTATACCTAAAAAATATTGTATATTTCATATTAAGTATGACGTGGATTGTAGTATAGGTATTCAAACAGTTTTTTTTAAAAACATGTTCCCATAAATTTATACTTATATTTATAGGTGTATAGAAATATTATGTAAATCGTGATAAATTTTACATTTTTACCGCGTAAAGATGAGCGAGACGAAAAAAAATCCCTAGCTGGATCGTCGTTGACCCGCATTCGTACGTTGGCCCTCAAAGTTGGGTAAGGATAGGGTTGAATATTATTAGAAAAAAAAAAATTTAAACCATCATAATATTAATATTTTTTATCGCTGCACAACATTATAGGCGACAGAGCAAATGTCGGCGGTAACTTGACGATATGGCAATATACTCTATGATATACCTACGCGTTATGTGCGCACGTATACAATATATATTAATACAATAACGACGAGTATAATATAGGTATATCAACGAAACATTAAAATTATTATGTACTGTATGTTATATAATTTACGAAATTATTACTATTGTACCGACGAGCCCTTGTGCAAGGGGGTGGGGGTGGACGTCAGTTTTGGCTTACCTTGGCCCTGCCGTGTGCCGTTGTAAGACCGCTGCATAATGACGACGACGACGACGGCGACGATGACGACGACGACGACGATGACGACGACGACGGGACACCGGCGATTACATAAGTGCTACTATAAATAGGCAGTAATAGTGTGCTCCGATATGTAGTCTACATCAATGTTTTGCAGCGGCTTTGGTCATGGTATATACCCCGAGCTCTGCCCGTGCAACAGATGGCCCCGCCGGGGCTCCTGGTCGCCGTGGCAACGGCTATTACAGGTGAGATGTTGCCCAGCAACCGGTGCCCAAAAATCCGGGCAAAACCAATGGCCCACATTCGTTAATCAATTGTCTCACCTTATCCGCCGACTTTTCTTCTCGTCGCGCGCGCCGCGCCGCTACGGCTGCTGTTGCTGTCGCTGTCGCTGTTGCTGTTGCTGTTGCTGCACAGCGATGCACGCGCGTATACATTGAACATCGCCCGCCGGAATATGAAACGCACAACAATAAGTAGGCAGAGACCACATATTGTTACGTCTGGGGGTCCTGCAGCGCGCATACCTACGACACGTTATTAATTATTATACATAATTATTGTATTACAATTATTTATTTATAGCCAGCGGGTATAATATTGTTAGATATCTACAATCACGGCCCGAGTTATGACCTGCACCGTTTCGATCGATTTACAATAATGCATATATGGGTATACTTCGACTGTAAATGCGCGCGCGTGTGTGTGTGTGTATATCTCGATTAAACATGGCGTTCGCACGACGTTTCATCTCGTTTGGGGATTTAGAGTATTTTCACCCCCCGTCCTCTGACAACAACGACAGTCGTAAAACCGACACTGTTGCTGCGCGTGTAATATATTCGGTCAACGATATATATTGTATTATTATGCGATGAACCTGGCTAATAAATTATTATATAGGTTATACGTATATGTACAAATAGTATAAGGTGTGTTTTTGTCCGGCAAACCTATTTATATTGTTTTGTCCTGATTGAAAAATTTAAAACTACCGTCGTATAATATGCTGCGGTAGTATTTTTACTATATAGGAACAACGCGATTGAATTTATCAAAAGTCTGCTAGCTTGAGGGAAGCCCTAAGAGTCGAGATAGTCGACAAGCTCCTTTTTTATACGTACATTCATTTATTTTACCGGTAAATGTATGTGTTTTTAAAATATTATTTTTACACAACTATTAAATTAAACCATTAAAGTCATTAAAATCAAACAAGTACCTAGTTAATTAATTAGAACCTATCAATTATAATAGTATTAATTGTAGTTTAGATGAGCGGAATGAGATGGAGTGGAGGCAAAATGTTGGATTGTACTACTCCGGTCACCTTCTATAAGTTTTAAACGCTTAGCTAATTAACATAAATTATTAGTTCGATATTCAATTTGTATGCATAGAAATACTCAGAAAAATATGATGTTCTGGATATTATGAAATTAACAAAGTATGTAAATATGTTGTAATTAAAAAAAAAAGCTTATTAAATTATAAAAATGAAAAATAGAAAAAACATCGTGTAATCGTTTAGCAATGACTGATAATTGTATAAAACAAATATTTAAAAAACACACGATTCAACATATAAAATGTATACTGCTTAGTGATAAAATATCACTCCAAGTGTATATATACCGACCACACATATGATCTTATCAGACTTCGTAATAAACACGTATATTATTATATATTAGTATATTTAATATACCACGTGCGTCGTTATTAATTACCCAACTATTATTATTATGAATTTATGACTTAAGAGTGTTCATCATATACTGACAAGTCGTCACGACCGTATATTTTACATAGATTAATTAACCGCAAACTACATAGTCAACACAATGATTTCTTAACAACTGCCAAAGCTATAAATGGCATATATTGTCTGCAGGTATGGGCGTATGGTAGTTATCATAAAAAGCCGAAAGATGTCTTTTATTACCAATTATTATAATACATATTATAAGGTGGTTGGTAGACTATCGTTCCGGGGCTCGCCGGTTGATTGCACGGGCTATCAAGAAAAAATAAGTCCGTAAAATATGTTCAGACTTGTATCGTGAAGAATTTTCACTTCTCGTCAATATCATTTCTAATGTCCAAACTCAAAACCACCACAGTAATACAATTATTGTATACTAATTAGTAATTATTCATACCTTTCAAATATTTTTATTTATGTTCCGACATTCACTACCTATACCTGTTATCGATCGTCGATCAATTTTATAAAATAAAACTAATCAATTAGGTATAAAACCGAAATCAACATCATATTATTATGTATTATAGTTTTGATATTATTCGGGAATCGTACAATATTGTTTCACTGGTGTGATAGTTAATTAATCATGTGATATAATTTATATCAGATTAATTTTAAACTCATGATGTCAACACAAATGTCAAAATGTTAGGACACGAAGAGGTCGGGGTCCGGGATGCGATCGCATCACAGAATCCATTGTCTGTTTGCCAATGCTTATAGTAGTGTAAATAATAGTCAGTTTTGTATAATCCAATTTTGTTGAGTATGATAATATGTAGCTATAAACTATTAATAAAATATTTTTTTAGCGTGATAATATGGTTTAAATTTAATTATCGTTTATATTTTGAGTACATAATTATTACTAATAAATACTTTTTATTATTTTTTCTAAATGTGAGTATAACGCTGAGTTGCTGTTAATATTAAATATAACTACCATAAGGCATTCGATGGTTTTAGCTTTCAAATAAATAGGTAACAAATTATAGTCATTTTCTCATTACATATGCCATTATCAAGGTATACCTATACTTATCTAACAAAATTGGCTTAAGTGAGTTATTTTAATTATTACTATATAACCTTAGGGTATATCACAGTTTATGTGATACTTATTATTTCCTTTAGTTTCTTTTAAATCACCTTTTGAGTTTTCACTTCCCTAAACAATACAGCTTGAAAACAATTTAAAACTTTCTTTTATAATTTCAAAATTAGACTAACCCTATATGATTTATGGCATGGAACGGCAATTAGTTTTTAATGGGATTCGGATGATTTGAAAAAAAATCAATGTCCAGAAAACCTTTTTTATTGTTTATTAAGTTATTCTAGGTCTTCGTAGAGACAAATAATAATAAAAAAGAAATCAACATAAATGTAAAATATTTCCGGTGGACTATTTATTTTCACTGCGCAGTCCGGATTCGAACCGCATGTCACCTATTTCCGACCCCTGGTTTATGGTATCAAAATAAGCTTTAGAAAAATCCAAACAAATAACAATTGTTTTACTATTGTTAAGTGCATCGTAAATAAATGTAGATATCTGTAGAATGCGTATATTGTTCTTATTACCAATCTAATGCCATACTGATTTTATGAAAGACGTTTATCATTTTCTATTAACATTACTAATCTTGATTTAACATTTTTTCTACGATCTTAGTGAAATAGCAAATCGTCGATATTTGTCTATAATATCATTTAAAATTGAGTTGTCACCATTTTTTAAAGTGGATTAATAATAGCTTTTTTAAAAGTGAGGAGAAATATTCCTTCTTTTAAACTTTTATTATGTATATAAACTGAAGGATCTGATATTAACGATGCTATATTTTTTATAAGTTGTACTAACAAATTATCAAAACGTGATACTGTTTCTTTTTTTAAAGTATTTATTAGTTCAATCATTTAATTGTTATCAATAGATCAGCGTTTTCATTATAAGGAGCAATGAATCCCATATCTATAGATCGTGCAAAACTTTTGACGAATCAGCACCAACTCTGTAGTGAAATACTTATACATTACTTGATTTTTTTGGTTCGTTTAGAACTTCTATGATTTCTTAACCAATTTTTAAGCATTTTAGAAATTCTTTAATTAATTTTTTTAACCTGTAATTTAATTTATTAGTTTCTATGTAGCGTTTAGATTATGTGACAAGGAACTAAATTTACTTTTATTTTAATGATATCTTGCATTTTTTAGATTCCATGCGGAGCGATAATATACAAATCATTTTGATTTAGAAATGCATGAACATTTTTTTTGTATCCAAGATTTGAAAATGTAATACAAGATTCCTCATAAGATTGTCTAATTTCATCAAAAAAAAATAAATGTCTACCGGAAAGTCAAATTTTTTTTTAAAATATTGGATATTCACTCGGTTTCTCATGGAGTGATTTTCTTATGTATTGTTGTGATTCAAAAACGAATAACCATAGATAATTGAAATTTTTAGTAGGTATATACTACCTACATATATTTAAACTACTAATTTTGAGCTACGGACATTTACGGACATTATCAATTTTCAAATTTTCAAATTTTTTTTTTTTAAATGTAAATAAAATTGTATTCGTTGGGTAAAAACGTTTGAAAAATAAATACAAGGCTCCGCACACATTGTTACAATATCAGTTTAAAAAAAATTAAAAATACATAGGCAAAGTTTTTTTTTACAAGAATTTAAAGTTAATTCAAAATTAATCAAATTCAAATAAAAAGGGCCCATATAGGAAGTTCATTCTGAAACCACAGAATCTAAAAAATACCAACACAGTTTTTTCTATAATTATTTTAAGTTCATATTTGGACAAAATTATGTATTAAAATCAAGAATAACGATTCTAGTTTTTTTTTGTAATTTAAAAAAGTATTATTCGTTGGTACTTGAAAGTTTTAGAGTAAGTATAGTATATTATTATATTTTATACACACAATGACATTTTCAAATGCATTTTTTTCGACAAAAATTAATTGAATATACTGTGGTACTAATGCCTAACGGATCATCTTCACTCAGAATCGTTTTTCGTATACACTATACAATGATTGAATATAATTGGACTCAAATTTAATAGATTCATTACAGTGACTCTCTATAGACGCCAAATAATGTACAGCATGGCGTTAACCACTTATAAGTACTTAACCGTTATTTTTATGTTGCACTTTCTAAGATTTTAGAACATTTTTCATAATTTATTTTTTAAGTGAACGTAAATTGTAGTAAAAAAGTATGTTATTGTAGTAAAAACTTTTAGAGTGGTATGGTAGCGTCGAACATGAAGATGTACAGTATTATAGTTATGCAATATTGTCTACTGTTTTCATATCTACAATTAATTAAAGAGGCGATATAAATATTTCTATTTTAGTATCATAATTGTATTTTAAGGGGGACGAGGTGACCGAGTGGTCTGACGCGTCCGCTGCGACGCAGCCGATCGCGGTTCGATCCTCGGCCACCGGGCGGCATTTTTCTCTGGACAAGTCGCGGTGACCGGAGAACAAGTGCCGCCATCCCCCAACCGGGCATGGCAGAAACCTACGGGTGCCCAATAGAAATTCTGCCAAAACAAAAACACACACGTGTTCCCCCCCCTACAGTCCCAAAAACTCTA